AGATCTCCAGGGCCAAATAAAAAAAAGCTTTTCTTCAGGGCACCACACACAGCTGCGGCATCCCTGTTAAATGGCACCCCCCCTGTGATGGGGACGTAGCCAGTGGGGGGAGGCTTGAAGTCCCCTCCCAGGCGCTCTGGAAGGACGGAGCGAGGGAGGGAAGGAGGGAGGGAGGCAGGCAGGCAGGCACAGGGAGATGTCTTTGTTATACCTGGGCATGGGTTGCATGCATGAGCCGCATCCTCCTACCCTACCCTTCCGACCACAGATCATCACCCACCCGGCCGCGTTGGGTTAAGTATGTGCCACCCTACCCCAGACCCTACCCCCTCATTTCTTGTTTCCTTTGAGTAAAAGTTGCTATGGGTACATCATGCGCTGATTCTCTAGGAAGGGGGTGGTAAAGCTTGTGTCCAAGTAGACGGGTGGATGACTGGTTCCAATAGGGGGTGGGGGGTGGATACTTCCGAAAGTCGGGGATTCCTCGGGAACTCATCGAGGGGTGGGTGGTGACTTCTCGAATCGTCGCTTTACCGCGTCGTATGACACGAAGTACACTCTTTTTATGTTATGTGTGATGCGACCCGTGCGTCGGTATAAAAACATGTCAAGACCTTCTCCTTCCTCCCGCCTTCTCTCCCTCCCTACCTGACCGACTGTCTGCTTGCCTCCCTACCTACCTACCTACCTACCTACCTGACCGACTGTCTGCATGCCTCCCTACCTCCCTACCTCCCTACCTCCCTACCTACCTGACCGACTGTTTGCATGCCTCCCTACCTCCCTACCTCCCTACCTACCTGACCGACTGTCTGCATGCCTCTCTCTCTCTCTCTCTCTCTCTCTGCCTCCCTCGTGCTGATCGTCTACCTCCTCCTTGATGCCTTCTATCCTTCCCAGCAGTTTCACCAACTAGACGGGCGATCAGACCGGCAAGTCGCTAAGGGTGAGGGTACCAGCAACAGCATTCGATCGGCACCGCTTTGGTCGTCAGAACTGCTTGAAAAACACCGAGTTCGAGAGCGTTTTGCCAGATCCTCAACATTCTCATCCTCATGCTTGTAGCAGTGGACAGTAGCATCCGCCGCAGAGGGTCCTGGGCTACCGTAATACCTCATTCGATGTCATGTATAAACAAGCTTCGGTGATGAAAGCTGGCAAGCACCCAAGCAACCACTTGTACTGCCTGCAGGGGTTATATCTATCTATGGCCAGTAGCCATGGCTTACGCACTGCTCTTTCGATCCATACACTGGAGTCATTTGCTTTCGATCCCCTCATACACACAAATCTCTCTCGATGCTTTCTCAGTTCCATTCAAAGCTCTATGTATCCCTCCATCAAGACTCCTCGGCTTTCATTACTGCAAACCTCATTATGACTCGCTACTCGCATCAGCAGCATAGACAGCATCAGGTGTATGCTGCTGAGGTGTTGCTTCGCACCTTTATTCTTATCCCGCGATCGCTACTCGCATCAGCAGCAGAAGGAGGTGTTCCTTCGCCTGTCACGCACCTTTATTCTTATCCCGCGATCCGTCCCCTCTTCTCCCTGCCCTACGACTACCTCTCCCTTTGTTGTATACACAACACAGAGATTGTCGACGTCAGGAGTGAAGTAAGGATGAAGAAGATAAAGAAGCACAAGATAAAAGTTTCCAAGTTTACTGGGAGGCAAACTACGCATGAATGCAAGGGGGGGGAATTCAGGAGGCCGAACGCTGGGGAAGCGTCCGCTTAAATAGGGAGTTTTTATCCCGCGCACAAATCCCCTCTCCTCCCCGCCCTATGACAACCTCTCCCTCCCCTTTCACCTCTTCTCTGCCTCCTCTGCCCTCTCAGCCACTACCCCTTTCCCTCCCCTGACCCTCGCCGCATCATCTCCGTCCAGGTAGACTGTGTGGGCTCCTCCTTCAGACGCTCCTCCTCCGCGATGCTCTCGAGGACCTCGTTGCGGTTCCTGACCATAAGCCCTTGAGCCGTCGCCATGACCCACCTGGCGTACTCCGGCCTCAGCACCTTGCTGATCGCCGCCCGGCTCTTGCCGTACATCCTCGACAGGTCTCGCTGCCGCATAGACCTTCTTTGCCCCACCGACACTGGGGCGGAGTAGTAGAGGCAGACGATGTCGGCCTTGTCCTGCGCGGTCAGCCGGCTCCTGCCCCTACACGCCGAGCTGTGCTTGCTCCGCGCCGCCGCGTCCCAGCGGCTGGTCTTCGAACCCCGGCAAGCGTTCACGGGAGCGGTGTCGTCGGGGAGAGGCGGGAGGACGTCGGGAGAGGGGTTGTCGGCGAAGGAGAGGTCAGCGGCAGGGACGGGAGACGGAGAGTCAGGAAGAAGGATTGAAGGGATGAAGGTGCAGAAAGAAGAGTAGGCGAGGACATCAAAAGAAGGGATCTGGCAGGAGACATCGACGGGGTCGATGGGGAGGAGGAAGGAGGTGTTGAGGATGAGGTCGTCGAGGAAAGCGGATGTCGGCAGGGACAGAGCAAGGGACATGGTAGAAAGCTCAGAGGGAGGGGAGGACAGACGTTGCGAGCAAAGGTGGACAGGGAGCGAGAACGTTTGATGTAAGGGGGAGGACGTGGCGGGAGAACGGTAGATTGGGTAGGTGGGGTTCATTCCCCGTCCAGAAATGTGACGACTAGGAGGGTAGGGTAGGGTGGTCGTAGGGTAGCCGATGTTTTTCTTTTACTTTACAGGCCTCCCAGCAGGGAACGTGAAATGGAGTCTTTTCATCGCAGGGATTCATCTCCTGATGAGGGAGAAGGGTTGCTAGGCTTTCATTATTCCTCTTGCCAGAAGAGGGGGTGGCTACATGGAACATACTCGGGTCGGAAGTAGGGGTAGGGTAGTAGTCCCCCATCCTAGAGCCGGGGAATGTGCAAGAACGAATAGATCGTTCCTCGACAGAGAAAGGTGAAATGACGTCTTTTGGTCATGGTCTAGAATGGCAATAGTCTCGAGGCGTTGCTTTCCCGCAACTTATCAAGTGAAGTAAACCTTTTTGTTTCTGAGGCTCAACTTTTTCAATCTCTACCCCTGATTAGTAATGTGGGTTTATGAGGGGGTGGGGTAGTAAGACCTAGGATAAAAAGTTTTCAATTTTATTTGTTCCTGTCCTGCCTTGTTCCTCCTTGTCTTGCACAGCCCTCGCTGTCTCCCTCGTCCTGATCCCCTTCAACCGACTCCTCGTCTACCTCCTTCTCTACCTCCTCGTCTCTCCTCGTCTATCTCCTCGTCTACCTCCTTCTCTACCTCCTCGTCTCTCCTCGTCTATCTCCTCGTCTACCTCCTCGTCTACCTTCGCGTCTACCTCCTCGTCTACCTCCTCGTCTACCTCCTCGTCTACCTCCTTCTCTATCTCCTCGTCTATCTCCTCGTCTATCTCCTCGTCCACCTCCTTCTCTATCTCCTTGGTAGAGGCATACAGAATGTTCACCATTGGTCACGAACGAAATCTTTATCATTTTCACCGTACTTGATATGATCGTGACCAACGGTGAACACTCGACCCTCAAAAGTTCATGAGCTGAGCATGACAAGACCCCTGATATCATCTAGCAAGGCTACCCTCATCTCGTCTGCAAAGTTTGGGGTATCTTTGGCTGAACAATCATGCCATAAATGTTCACTTTCACAAGCCAGAGCATGCCGGCAGCAAGCTGAGATCAAGGCTAGTTATACCATGAAAGATCCTGGACTGCGTCGCGGAGGACTAGACAGTGAGTACGGCGCTCGTGGAGCTTATGAATTACCTTGTTGGTATTAGCAGTCGAGGCTAATCCGACATGGAACTTGAAAGTCTTCTACGCAAACAAGCCAAGCAAGTCCATTGGAAGAGGAAAACCCATGGCGACGGTTTTGGCTACTCAGGACAGAACAAGTAGGGGGCAGGTAGACTCCATCTATTGCTGCCAATTGAGTTGGTAGTTGATAAGTGGTAGGCTATGAAAGCTTATCAAATAT